TCAGGGAAAGAGGGGGTGATGATAAGCATGTGGCTCGTGGATGGGATCACTGGGGCAGGGAGCAAAATCCTAATTCTTGACTTAAGGGAAGGTTACGATTATGTTTGTTTAAAAATAACACAGTAAAGCTACACATTTGCCTTGCGTGATGTTCTGTATTTGACTTTTCTTTTACAATAAAAAGGCTCTTTCTAATAAGGAAAAGTTATATCACTAGTGTTACCTGTCATAAGAGAACATTTATGACATTTAAAATAATTACATTTATTTTAAATAATTATATGAAACATTTAAAATAATTACATGATAGTAAACATCTAAAACAACTATGTGAAAGTAAACAATAGTAAACATCTAAAACAACTATGTGAAAGTAAACAATCTTATAAAATAATCACATTCAAAATGTACATACAGATGAACCTATTTGCAAAACAGAAATAGAGACACGGATGTAGGGAACAAACATATGGACACCAAGGGAGGAAAGGGAGGGTGGGATGAATTGGGAGATTGGGATTGACATATATACACTACTATGTATAAAACAGATAACCAATGATAACCTACTGTATAGCACAGGGAGCTCTACTCAATGCTGTGTGGAGATCTAAATAGGAAGGAAGTCCAAAAAAGAGGGGATATATGTATATGTATAGCTGATTCACTTTGCTGTACAGCAGAAGCTAACACAACACTGTAAGGCAACCATACTTCAATAAAAATTTTAAAAGTAAATAAATAAAATGTACACAAACATAAACCATATTATTAAATTCCAGCCAGCCACTGAAGCCTGAGGAAGGTTCTGAGGCCTATTTTCTGTGTTAAAAAGGAGATTAACAAGTGCCGCTGAGTGTTAGTGACAGGCCAGCGCTCAAATGAGACTTTCTTCTCAACTTAATCAGGCCCTGAAAGAGCCCTGAGACAATGTGATTCAGGATTCTCTTACGTTTGGCCATGTACCACCTTAAGTCACCTGCTTCACTTCAAGTCACCTCATGGACCATCTCCTATCCTACAATTCTGGAAACACTGGGTTAAAAACAGGTCTGGGGCATTAGGGTAGGCCAAGACCTAAAAACAAAAACTTAGCTCTCTCAGATAACCAACAGATTCATTTCACTTGTTCCAACCCTTTCTAAACATGCTTAAAAGATCTGCTTTTCCATTATGAGCATTTAAGCGAGAGACCAACACTACGACTCGGTAAGAGCTGCTTATCTTCATCCTAGTTACCAGCACACACACTTCACTATGGACTTAAGAGGGCACCGTCAGAGCCTAGTAATCCTCTGCCTCTGCCTTTATGCCTAATGTGCTCAGAGGTCTCAAGTGACAGGAGGCCTTGTATCGGAAAGCACAAATTACAAAAACAAGTGCAAAGGCCCTCCTCCAGCTGATCTCCCCATCATAAAACAAGGCACCACATCCTGAGCTACTGGCTCATCAACACTAAGCCAATCTGACCTCAAAGCCCTTTAAAAAAAAAAGGGGGGGGGGGTAATCAGGTTATATAATAGACTTATAAACTTGTAGCAAGCAAAGAAAGCTCTGAAATTCAGATGGAATTCAGTCATGTTTTTAAAACATTTTTCTAAAATACACACATAAAAGTGGCCTGATTCTCCTATAAATGACTTGAGAGCAAATCTGCTTTTACCTCATCTTTTCGCCCCCAAGTTTTGCTACGAGTTTGAAGAGAAAGCAAACCCGAGCCAGGAATGTTTAATTTTTCTGGCACTGCTGCTCACCAGAGAATAGTGACCCCAACACATAAAGATGAGATTCAGGCAGGAGTTGAAAGGGAACTTGTATAACAAAGGAAGATTAGTGCTAAATTCCTGTCTTCGATGTCTGTACCTTAATCAGTCTCCCTTGGGTCAGCTGACCCCGTTTCCTTTCCTCTCTTCCCACCTCCTGCTTCTTCTGTGTCCTCAGCCATCCTTGTTTTGTGAACCCACAGCTTCCCAGCTTACCCACACTCCTTTCCTTGTATATTTTGCTTTCTCATGAGACATGTGAGCAGACAAATTCTCAAATATACACAGGTCTACTTAAATGTCTGGAACAGAAATCCCAAGTTCCACTCACCACACAGGGGCTTATGGAGACCTAGTCCAGTCTCCATGATTTCCCTGGACCCCTTTATGAGAGAAGGTACACCCTGGATGGTAAGGACCAGGTCCTGGGTTCAATTTCCTGTGTACATCCACAGCAAAGGGCCCCTTTCATAACTACTACTCTGATCAAGTGAATTCAGGAATGTTTAAATAGGAAGCTCTCTCTCTATACCAGAACCTGATGAGACCAAGACTTTAAGAATAGAAGGAAAAAACATGCACATTTAACCCTCCATTCTAGAAATGGCTATGAGCAAAAGAAACCCAGAAGTGTCTAAAGCCCAGCTGAGCTCCACTTATACTCAGGTGCACAAGACAGAAGCTCATGTCAGACCTAACAGTTCAGATACTGTCCCAGGTTTGTGCCATTTTCCTCAAGATAAGGTGCCCTGGTCCCATAGACCTGTTCTACGGGCAAATCTATAGCAGGAAAATGGTGAGGCGTGTTTTTTTGGGGGGTGGGGGGGTTGGTAGTTTGGATTTTTCACCCAAGCCCTTTCCAATGAGCAACAGAGAAATATGAGAGCCTGTTTAAACATTACTTACTGCCTGTTGGATATCAGACTTCGCCTGCTCACTCAACATGCCTTCAAAGACAAAGGAGTCACCAAACTTCTCAGCCTAAGGGAAAGGAAGGAAATAAAAATCCAGAAAAGGTTGTAGTAACATATTTCACATGTGCCATTTTCTCTGTACACTACTAAAGTGGTTCTTCTTGTCCAAATGAACTTAGATTTGTCTTATAACCTCCCAAATGACCTAAAAGCATCTGGCTTCCTGTTAAAACAGGTTACTGTCACTTAGAGAGACCATTTTTATTTAAGGCTCATTTAGCTGATAAGAATGCAGACTGGAAGAGATTAGCTATTGAGACTGTGATTGTTTCTGTTGATGGAAACACATCTCCCCAAGTATTACAAATGACTGTGGAAAATAACAGGATTCTTTACATGTCAGATTACATAATCAACCTTTGTCCTTTGTTCTGCTCCTGGAACCTAGCTAAAAGAAGTAAATGGCACTGTTTGTTGATATTCTGACACACTCCACTAAGGTGTCCAGTGTGCTTATACATCTCAAGTGGCCAATTCAAGCACCAGATGGAAATCTGTATTTTAATCATTTTTATTTACCATTACTGTCTCAAGTCCGTATCTACCTGGTTTTCTTTGTTGCATATGACCCCAGTTCTGGAAACACCCAATGTAGTCTCTTGGTCTCCATGATTCTACTCTTCTAGCTTTCTTCCTCCATTTCAGACTCCTTCTCATCTCCTGAAATACATGGGCTCTTCTTCTTGCCCCTAAGACACTGTTGCTGCCCAGCACTCTGCCCTGGCTCTCTGTTCTTCTTATTCTACACCAGTGGCCCTCAGGCTCTGTGCAGTTGAGATCACCTGGCCAGCTTGTTATAGCTACACAGCACTGCTCCCCAAGCCCAGAGGTTCTGATTCTGTAGGTCTGGGGTGAGGCCAAGGAACCTGTCTGTGTGAACAGATAAGCTGGTGATTCTAATACAGGTGGTCTAAGAGATCACACGATGAGATACACCGACCTGCTGCTGGACAAACTCTTGAAATCCCATGATTTTAACCACCACCGGCATTTCAAATGATGTTCATATCTCCACCTCCAGTCCTCACCACATGATATTAACAGCCTACTAGATCCCTGTATTTCCCGCCTTATGAGCACCTCAAGCTCCTTTTGCTGATTAGAGCTCATCATCTTTTCTCCACCCCAGCTCTTATTTCTGTATTCCCTTGTGGCATCACCATGCCTGAGAACCCAGACCATTCCTTCACTCAACAACATTTACCAAACACCTATCAGATGCCTGGCTTTGGGCTAAATGACAGAGATACAAGGTCAGTATTACAGAGGCATGGTCTCTGACCTTAGAGCACTCACATATGGGGCCACAAACAAAAGTCAAGTCAAACAAAGAAAGGAAGAATATAATTACAACTTTACTTGACCTTGTAAGGCAGAGAGTATAGAGAGAAGCCTCCTTTTGATAGGGTGGGCAAAGGAAGCCTCCTTGAGAGAGATATTTAAGCTGAGACGACTCGAGAATGAGAAGGAGCCAGCCACGCAAAAGGGGGACAGGCAACGGGGTCAGGAAATTCCAAGCAGGGGGAAAGTATGGGCTGCACCCCC